CAGAGGTCCAAACCCTCGCTAATCACCACCCTACCCGAAATCCATTTTAGGCGTACGTCGTTAGTCTTGTTGTTGTTATTACAGATTTCAGTGTGTTGTGTGTCGTGTTGTTGTTATTTTTTCTTTCAAGTGTGTTGGTTGTAGCTGCCTATTTGTTTTTAGTAATAATATTTTCTCTTCCTATTGTGGTTTGGGTTAACTCCGATACCATTGCATATACCGGTTTCTTATCGTTGATGCTTTAATAAATAGTGGTTATTTACTTACTTTGAATTCTCAAGCCCACCCTTTGATATTTTTGTATGCCAGTTCCTATTCAATCACTTGCCGGATCGTCTCCATAGGAACACTTTCTAGCTTTAGATTGCTTTTGGGTGTTTTCCATTTCATCTTAATTTTTGTATTTTTTTATTTTGTGTTCGAGTAGTTATTATCACTCAGTTTCCTTTCAATTATTTTCTAGTTTTCTTCAGTTGTATTAGTTGTTGGACCTTTAGTTATGAAGTAAAATTTGTTTTTCGTTGTTTCTTTTTGTATTACCTGCATACAATTTTCTTTTGAGATTACAAAAATGTTCTCTTTATTTCATCATGCTCTACATTGTCGGGTGCACTGTTTTCTGGACCCGGGTTATGACAGGAATGAGGAGGAAGCTTTGGTGGGGGCTGTTGCAGGTTGTGAGAGAGTTGGGCTTTGATTTTTGCTGAAGTGAGAGAGGGAGTAGATGAGAATGAGAGTTGAAAAAGGGTTCTTTTTCTTTTTAATTTTCTGTAGTGGGATGGGACGAAGAAAGGATGGAATGACGAGTAGTGTACATCACGTGAATTCTTGGATTTTGACAAGGCAAATGCTTGGAAGGATTAAAATTTGTTGTTTTTATATTATAATAAACTATTATAATTTTTGAACTTTAATTATTAAAACTTATTTATGTATTCATTTTAATCAATGTCAATGTTATCCAATTTAATTCTAAATTAACTGTGATTTTCTTATGTAATTGTTTATATGTTTGATTATGCAATAATAATCTATATATATATAGTGAAAAATGTCATCGTTTCGCTCTGCTAGGGTTCTGCCCCATGGGGAACCCTAGCATCTTGCGTTGCTTCTGTTCTGCTTTAGGATTCAGCGTCGTCTGGCGTCGCCTGTTTAGTCTCGGTGATCTGCTTCCATTCGCGTCGTCTGCTGCGTTTCCTGTTTGCGACAGAGATGCTCTACGTCTGTGACAGACTGCTCGTCGTCTGCGAGCCGCTCCTTGTTTTGCTCGGCTCAGCGCGCGAGTCTACGACAGAGCCGCTCGTTTCAGCCTCTGGCGTAGGCGTCTGCGACAGATCCTGCAGCTTTTCTTCTTGCTGATGTTTGACACTAGCTGCGGTAATGGCCTCAGGGCTTTCTTACGCCGCCGCCCTCACCGATGATATCCACCGATGATATCCCCGCCAATCCCTCCCATGCTGCAGTGGTTCACAAACACAACTCCCCTTATCACATCACAGATAGTGCGGTATTCCCGCAGAGTTACCATGTTTATGTCGCAGGAAATGACAATTGTAATCTCATAAAAAAAGTAGAGAAAAAGGCGAGCAAACCAGCAATTTTTTTCTCTGACGCTGAAATTTCAACTCGTGCAGGAAAATACAAATTTACACTAGTTGGAAAGTTTCAATTAGGTTGCCCGAAGATGGAGATCATCAGGAAGGTTTTTGAAGATTTCAAACTGGTTGGGGATTGGCAGATGGGTCATTTCGATGGAAGACATGTATGATACAGTTGAGCACAGAAGATGATTACACGAAGATTTTCTCAAAGAAATTCATCACAATTGAGGGCAAACATATGAAATTGCTCAAATGGACCCCCAATTTTGATCCCAGCCAAGAACCCCCAATTGCATCTATTTGGTTCTCATTACCTAAACTTAAGCTTCATTTCTTTGATCTACCATTCTTATATGCAATTGGGACTATCCTTGAAAAGCCTTTGCAGGTAGATTTAACTACAGTTCATTTCTGAAGACCTTCTATTGAAAGGATTTTGATTGAACGAGATATTACACTACTGGATGTAGAAGGAGTCTGACTTGGATCTGCTCACAATGGTTATTGGCAAAAAAATCATTATGAAATAAAAACCATACTACTGCAAGCACTGCAAGATGCTTGGACACCCGCAGAAGAAATATTTCAAATTGCACCCACAGTTGAGAACCAATAGTTAAAAGTAGGAACACACTGTTAGCGCACCCCATGTGCCTGAACGCGCTCCCAGCAAAATTGATGACAGCCAACCTAAGGAGGGAAACACCACAAGACAGGAGTTGGTGTCTGCCCCTGGGATCCCTTCTCTTGACCATACTATAATGGATAATGTTCGAACTGAAAATCAGAATAATCCCGCAGCTCCTATTCAGGAAGCATCAGGTGCAGAGGTAACAATTCACAATTTACATACTCTGGAACCTATCGCGATGACAACGACTGTCTTTTCTCCTACTGCGGTTCAAACATCAAATTAGATCGAGGATCATATGAGTCAGTCTTCAAATGAAGAATGACAGGTTTACACTTCTCGGCGGAAGAAGAAGCCTGGGGGCTCACTCCAACTTGGAAACTTAATGGATGATACTTTGGTGACTCCTGGCAATGACACGACTCTTTAAAACTTGTTATCTGGTTCCGCTTCTAAAACTAGAGGAAGAGAGATATTACACTACTGGATGTAGAAGGAGTCTGACTTGGATCTGCTCACAATGGTTATTGGCAAAAAAATCATTATGAAATAAAAACCATACTACTGCAAGCACTGCAAGATGCTTGGACACCCGCAGAAGAAATATTTCAAATTGCACCCACAGTTGAGAACCAATAGTTAAAAGTAGGAACACACTGTTAGCGCACCCCATGTGCCTGAACGCGCTCCCAGCAAAATTGATGACAGCCAACCTAAGGAGGGAAACACCACAAGACAGGAGTTGGTGTCTGCCCCTGGGATCCCTTCTCTTGACCATACTATAATGGATAATGTTCGAACTGAAAATCAGAATAATCCCGCAGCTCCTATTCAGGAAGCATCAGGTGCAGAGGTAACAATTCACAATTTACATACTCTGGAACCTATCGCGATGACAACGACTGTCTTTTCTCCTACTGCGGTTCAAACATCAAATTAGATCGAGGATCATATGAGTCAGTCTTCAGATGAAGAATGACAGGTTTACACTTCTCGGCGGAAGAAGAAGCCTGGGGGCTCACTCCAACTTGGAAACTTAATGGATGATACTTTGGTGACTCCTAACAATGACACGACTCTTTAAAACTTGTTATCTGGTTCCGCTTCTAAAACTAGAGGAAGAGACAGGACTAAACTGGTTCGTCCCTAGCCATTATTTTCTGCATGTTTTAAATTGCCATTGATGATCTCTAATTTGTATTTAAAATGTTCATTACTTAAAATATATATATATATATATATATTAAGATTTATCATCGCCCATCTCAAGTTTTATGTCACCAATCTCTCACGCATGCAATTGTATGCTTCACTTTTTTGCAGATACCTGGGCATAGTGGGTGTCTATTCGAAGTATTTATGATGTTTTGGACGCATAAGAGTTATCTGTTTTGTGATTGGACTTCCTTATGTAATCGTTTATATGTTTGATTATGCAGTAATGATCTCTCTCTATATATATATCTTAAGATTTGTCATCGCCCATCTCAAGTTGTATGTCACCAATCTCTCACGCAGGCAATTGCATGCTTCACATTTTTGCAGATACCTGGGCATAGCGGGTGTATATTTGAAGTATTTATGACGTTTTGTACGCATAAGAGTTTTCTGTTTTGTGATCGGACTGCATTTAGGCTAAGTTAAAGTCGTCGAGGCAATTTAGACCTGAATTGCACACGCATGTTCGTAGTATGTCGTTTTCACTTTGCTTCTTTAGATCATCAAAAATCTCTTCTTAGATAACTTCAACGTTTAAGTGATATTATGATAAAGACCATTTCACAAACCAGCGTCATCTAGGCAGTTTTGGCAGTCGTTAAGGTGATTTAAGCTGGAATCACATGTTATTGTGCTCATTGTTGGCTGCTTTCATTATATTTGCTCAAATAGATTTATGAAGCAAGTACGGAGGTCAAAGTGTTGTTCTATTTATTCTTTGTTCATGAGTCTAAACAATGTGCACAAGTGGTTGACTAGCATAAGGTAATTGAGTGAGTTCTCATTGAATGATCCATGATCTTGAAATAAAATGGCCTAAATTTGAGTTGGTGATAATTGACTCGAAGAGATCTTCACAAGAGGGATAGCGTAAGGCATTAGAGAATACTGATTTAACTTAACCTTTGATAGAAAAAATATATTGTTGTAGAAATACTAAATGATTGGCTCTCATGTATATGCTTAAGCTTTTGGATTGATAATGGGTTTGACCACTTTTCTATTAAGAAAAACTTTATCAATCTTCGATTTACACTCGCTAGCATCAATTATCTAGTATATAAAGGCTTAAGGATTTCTTAATGACTTGGAAATGCCCCCTTTGTCTTCAGAGTTTTTCAAATGAAGATTCCAAAGCCAGAGTTGGTAGAGATATTAGGATATTTGGTATTGTCATGTCATTTAATCCAATGGTTTCTTAATGAGCTACAAGAAAGAAAAGATGTGGTATGCCAAAGAAATTTTGAGCTTTTCATGTGGGAGAGAGATTATTTTTTTAATTGCTACATATTCTGTTATCCATTTCTATTGGGTTCCAAGCTTGAAAGTGCTTTTGAATCAATGGGACGCTCTTTTGCAATTGTAAGTTTGATTCTCTAATGGACATACCCACCATCTATCTTGCTGGGTCCTTAAATCGTCTAAATAAATTTTCCTTTGCACATTTGAAAAGCAACCATTTTAGCTCATCACATTTTCTCATCCCAAATCAGATTTTTTTGGTATCTTTTGCAAGAATAATCAAATTTAGCTTGTATGGATTGCAGGACTTAAACCAGGCACCCGTTATTTCTATCGGTGTGGAGATCCTTCTATACCAGCAATGAGTTCCACGCATAAGTTCAGAACAATGCCCATTTCAGGTCCTAAGAGCTATCCAAAAAGAATTGCAGTTGTTGGTGATCTTGGTCTTACTTATAATACCACTTCAACTGTTGATCATATGAGAAGTAACAATCCTGATCTGATCTTATTGTTGGGAGATGTTACTTATGCAAACTTGTATTTAACAAATGGAACCGGTTCAAATTGCTACTCTTGCGCATTTCCAAATACCCCGATACATGAGAGCTACCAACCACGTTGGGACTTCTGGGCAAGGTAAATATTATTGAGTTTCTATAATATAGATCTCCCTTTCTCATTTGGTAATAAGTGAATTTTAAAGTCTTGTTTGACTTTTTAACAAATTGAAAAAATTGTCAAAATAGTCCTCTGCCTTTTTTAAGGGTCATTCTAGTCCACACAGAAGACTATTTTAGCCTCAAGTAAAGAGAATAGGGATAAAGTTGACATTTTTATTGACTCTGAGACTAAGGGTACGTTTGGGAGAGATTTTTAGCTGCTTTCTGCGTTAAAAAGCAAAATACATGCATTTTGGAGCCCACTTTTTACATGCTTTTCGTAAAATCATATTCCTAAAACCCGATTTTTGAAAACGGCGGGGCGGGGCGGGTTATGTTCGGTGAAACAATCTGTGGCTTGGTTGGGAGACACCCCTGCCTTTCACTTTTTCCACAAATGACTTGTTTTATCCGCGATATTTGTGGCTTTGGCTTCTCCCTTGTCTGAGCTACAAGCTATTGGGGTTAGGGCATACCAGTGAGTGTTTTTTGCTTTGGCTTCTCCCTCGTCTTCCCCCATTTTCACTGCGAATCATATGTATGTATCTCGAACGTCATTCTTTGGTTTAGGGTCACACGAGGAAGTTTTTTTCGGTGCAAGGTTTTTGTTTTTTTCTTCTCCATCATCGAATTTATACTTCCCAATCTTCTCAGTATTGGTGGGTTTGATTGTTAGTTTAGGGCTTGCATTCCACATTATTTGGGTTTTGCATTCCATGCGATAACTTCAGAATTGTAGTTGGTTACTTCATCTTCAATTTTTGGTTTAGGTTTTGCATTTCATGCAACTGTGGTTGAGGTTACTCTGGTTGGGGTTCGGTTGACTGTGATTGATGTTTCTCTAGTTGGGATCTTGTTGGCTATAGTTGAGATTGCTCTGGTTGCATTTTTGTTGACACTGATTGGGATTGCTCTGATTGTGATTTGGTTTGTTGTGGCTAGGTTTGCTCTTGTTGGGGTTCGGTTGGCTATAGTTGGGGTTGCTCTGACGCGAGTTTGGTTGGGCTTGCTCTAGTTGGGTTTGATTTGGGGTTGCTCTGGTTGTGGTTTGACTGGCTATGATTGGGGTTGTTCTGGTTGGGATTTTGTTGGCTATGGTTTTGTTTGCTCGTGTTTAGTTATTGGTTGTCTTTTTTTGGGTTTGCTATGGTTTAGGGGTTTTGTTGGCTGTGGTTGAGGTTGCTCTACTTGGGGTTTTGTTGGCTATGCTTAGGGTTGCTCTAGTTGTGGTTTTGCTGGCTGTAGTTGGGTTTTTGTTGGCTATAGTTGAGTTTGCTTTGTTTTAGTCATTGGTTGGCTACGATTGTGTTTGCTCTGGTTTAGCGATTTTGCTGGTTGTGGATTTTGTTGGCCGTGGTTGGGGTGCTTTGATTAGGCATTTGTTGGCTTTGGTTGATGTTTCTGTGGTTGGGGTTTGGTTGACTATGGTTGGGGTTGTTCTAGTTTAAGGATTGGTTGGCTGTGATTGGCTTGCTTTGGTTGAGGTTTTGTTGGTTGTGTATGAGGTTGATCTGGTTACGGTTAGGATTGCTTTGGTTGGGGTTGTTCTAGTTGGGTTTTGTTGGTTATGGTTGGGTTTGTTCTTGTTTAGTGATTGGTTAGCTGTGGTTGAGTTTACTGTGGACTGTGGTTGGGGTTTGGTTTGCTGTGATTGGGTTTTCTCTGGTTTAGGGTTCTTGGTTGCTGTGGGGCTTTGTTGGATGTGATGTTTTGCACACATACAAGTCAAATCTTATAAATTCATATATTTAATGTGGGTTTCGACGACTAATTTTTGTAATGTTATGTAGAACAATGATGGAAAAATAACAATGAGTTCAATCAATCACAAATTGTGATTCATATAATTGTCCCTATACATTTGCAATCACAATTAACCACATATACTACATGGTCTTAAAGTCTGTATGACACAATTGACCATAGATAATACTTGTTTTAAAGCACACATGATACAATTAATCACATATACTATATGGATTTAAAACACATATAACACAATTAATCACATATACTACATGGTTTTAAAGCACACATGACAGTTATTTGGTCTTAAGGCACACATAACACAGTTAACCACATAAATTACATGGTCTTAAAGCTTGCATAACATAGCTAACCACAAATGCCACATGGTCTTAAAGCCTGCATGCTACAGTTAACCACAAATACCACCTGGTCTTAAAATTTGCATAACACAGATAACCACATATGCTATCAAAGTTTATCTGATTATCAAATGTACTTGGTGATCCTGGATTGAACAATTTTTGATAAATTTATCTCACATCCTTTTTTAAATTTTGTTTCAATTTTTTAAATTAATTTTGCTGTTATAAGATAAATTATATAATTTCTTCCAATTTTTTATCTTCATGATACATCAGATGGGAAAATAAATGGAAGGTGGTATATTTATCATTTGAGAGGTGGTGAAGAATATATTTTGTGATTTAGACTTGAAAGAGATCGAAATTGACAATAGACCAATCAAACACTTCAATAAGTTGACAAAACATAACAAAAAATTTTCATTAAAAACATGAGGATTGTATCATAAAAGTCAATTAAAAAACAAATGAGATCAACTCAAAAATGATTAAAAATTGTGGAAGAAGTTAAAGAGAAGAACAACAGGATTAAGTTGGGACCCTGTTAAGAAAATAATGAATGCATCAGAGGAGCATCACAAAGAAGGAAATTTCAATAATTAGTAAATATTATATGAATTTTTAATATTCTCATATTAATCAAACTATGCTTTTATTAATTATAGGTCCTACCCAATGGAAAAAAAGTTAGGATTTATGTCATAGACCTTGAGTTAGAGGAGAAGCTTGATTATATATTTCTCGATGTTCTGGTTATGAGCTCTAATGTATGGGCAACAACGCCGGACTTTTAGAATTTTGATGAGTCTGAATATGCTCATTTAAGCGAAGTACAAGAGGAAGCCCCACATTAGAGAATAAGGTGAATTAAGTCATTTCAAGTGCTCCGCACCCTCCACCTTGAAGTGTAAAAAAAATGAAGGTCGACTCCCAACATTTATTTGAGTAGATTTCAAAGCTTGTTATAACCCGCACTAATATGACATTCAACGCTCGCATTGCTATTTAGGGATAACCAACTATGATAGAAGTTGTAAAGTTATTGGACTCCACTCTTGAGATATTTTTTGATATGTCCCTATATTTATTCGTTATTAAATTTTAGAGGATCGAATAAAGCAGGAGACTTTCACTATAAAGGTGTCAGAATGGAGGATTCATTACTTTCGTTATTTTTTAAACAATTAGTCTAGTTAGTTTTTATTTTTTATTTTTGTGTCAAATTGGTGTGTAATAATTTAAACTTATGCCGAACAATGTCATGCGATGTACTTATGTGACATTTGATCATGTATGCTTTGCACTAGTTGTTGTACTTTAATTTTGTAGTTGTTTACTTTGAGCATAACTTATTATTTTTTATATATTTTGACATACATAAAATAGTCAGATGGACCCATCAAATGAAGATGATATTTTAGAGATAGTGAAACGAACTATAATTCTGACTACTACAATATGTCTTATCAATTAGTATAATCAGATAAAATTGTGTAAGACACAATGTGTGTCATCCTTATCTGTGGGTAACAAGTAGATTGGTGAGCTACACCAATGCCATCCGAGCATAATTCATGGCATATTTCGGATGTCAAAATTTATTTTTTGTGCTTTGCTGGTTGAATTGCAAATTAATTATGGTTCGCATGGATCGTCTCGATTTACAACCAGGGAAGTACTGATCACTTATATATTTTGTCAAATAATGAATTCATTCTAGTTGCTTCCGAGCGATTCCAACACTTAACAAAGACGATTAACAAATATTCGATATTAACTATTTGTTTAGATTGTCATCAAACTCATATCTTGATTTTGTGCATACACTAAGAGAAACTCATAACGATACAAGATATATACCGTTCTTCAAAGTATTGATTTATCCATTTAATTTGCATACATATTTTATAAAAAAATATTCTAATTATTATTTTAAATTGGATTATATAAGAACAATTGATGACATACATGTTGATGCACGTTTTGCAACATTAACAATATTGCATATATCGGATATTATGCACCTGCAACACAATATCTTAGCAGTTCGTGACTTTAACATGTGTTTTTACGTTCATAATGACTGGATGGGAAGGGATGCCTATGATAGTCTCATGTTTAAATTTTTTACTCGATAATGTTAATACAAATTTTTGATGCCTCAATCTGTTTAGTATATTTATGACCGTATATGATGTGTTAAATTTTAAGAGATTTACTAACAAAGTTAGTAGCCAGAAAAATATTACCTCGTAGATTCAGGATATCCTATGCAACAAGGTTACAACCATGGATCGTCTCGATTTACAACCAGGGAAGTACTGATCACTTATATATTTTGTCAAATAATGAATTCATTCTAGTTGCTTCCGAGCAATTCCAACACTTAACAAAGACGATTAACAAATATTCGATATTAACTATTTGTTTAGATTGTCATCAAACTCATATCTTGATTTTGTGCATACACTAAGAGAAACTCATAACGATACAAGATATATACCGTTCTTCAAAGTATTGATTTATCCATTTAATTTGCATACATATTTTATAAAAAAATATTCTAATTATTATTTTAAATTGGATTATATAAGAACAATTGATGACATACATGTTGATGCACGTTTTGCAACATTAACAATATTGCATATATCGGATATTATGCACCTGCAACACAATATCTTAGCAGTTCGTGACTTTAACATGTGTTTTTACGTTCATAATGACTGGATGGGAAGGGATGCCTATGATAGTCTCATGTTTAAATTTTTTACTCGA